CCAGCACCAGCACCAGCACCAGCAGGAGCAGGAGCAGGAGCAGGAGCAGTAGCAGGAGCAGTAGCATGGCCGTATCCGTGGCCGTATCCGTAGCCGTAGAGTGAAAAACCCCTCAGACCCGGAAAGTCTCTCGGAAAGCCCTGCTCTCCTCCTCGACGCGGGCCGCCATGGGGCTGAGACCCGAGCCCTTCCCGCCAACCTGCACAAACTGCGCTCCCCAACGATGCCCCGATGCAGAGGCCACACAAGGCTCCGGCCCAGTCTTCCGCGAAGTGGAGGAGCTGCGACAGCCCGGACTTCAAGTCCGCCTGCCAGCTCAAGCAAGGCTGTGGCGGAATGGTGACAGGCACGTGTGCCTTTGTAGCAAGCCAGTGGACCACCAACAGGGCCATGCAGGTTATGGCTGCAGCAGTGCGCCCAAACAGGGTCGGCATCGGCGCGTCCATGGCCACAGCTTGTTAGCGTCAAAACATGTCTCAGAATTTCTGAGGTTGAGCCGATCGGCAGAAAGCGGCTGGAATCCAGACCCAGACCTGCAATCCCAACTTGTGCGCTAGAAGCACTGCTCCGAAACTGGGCCTGAAGTGCAGCAGGATTATCGGTCTAGAAATAACCTCACATTCATCACCGGCAAGCGAGGTGGCACAGTAGAGACCGGCGCTGCCTGACGACTCGCGCCGCAGCGCAGCGGCTCTCCAATGGAGGATTCTTGGGGGACTCAGGCTGAACGACCAAACACCCCACACGCTCTAGTCAGTCCTAACACTCGCTTCCTGATCATCCGAGTCCTACGAGTAGCAGATTTCTCAGGCCCAGAGCCAGCACGACTTTCGCAGAACCGCTCTTCTTTGCTAGACGCGTCGAGTCTCACACGGCCACCTACGGCTTGAAAAAATGTCGCTCGTCTACGTCGCTCGCGTCACATCTTCGGCAGGTACAGAACGCCTCCGGCGGCGCCTCTGCACATGTTTCGAGGGGCTCTTGCAGTGGCGAGCTTCGAATAAAATCGAGTTTCCCTTGAAGCAAAGCCGAGACTGCTCCAGTCTCGGTTGAATGGGAGCCCGCAGCCCCCCAGAATTCGACGCATGCCATGTGAATTGCGAGGCGGCTACGAAAGCTTGGGGGACTAACTCGTTCTTGTCGTTCCACGCCCGGTCAGAAACACGGCAACACACATCATAGCTCACAGGTACACCTAAAACTACAGTATTACTTCCATGGCCAAGCAAAAGCAGGAATCTTGACAACACAGATCCAATCACCTCGCCAGAGTCAGAATTTCAGCGGCTCGGTTTTATGATATCAAGGTAGGGCAGGACGGAGAGTTCAGCCAAACTCACCCCCGCATTAAGAAATTGAAGCTCAGGGCTCTGTCAGGGCTTCATAGCGGCGGCTTTACATGGGCTTTATAGGCGCTATAAGGGTTTCATCTGGTCTCAAGAAATGTTTGTCACACCAAACCCAAGGCCACAAAATTGAGAAATTGAGGGGCTCCATGTTTCAACTTAAGAACTGGACGGGCTCAAACTTTCTGGTTCCGGGTGAGTCGTTGATTTTGAAGCCCCTTGCAATTCAGAAACTGTCGTTCAGACATCCGGGTGCCCTCAAGTCTAAAAATGTGCGTTCAATAAAAGTCGTCCTTCAAAACTAAGAAATCGAGGGTGCCCTGACCGAACAAGAAATGGTCCGTAAGCAGCGCTGTTCTTGCAGTCGATCTGAAAAACATGTTCTCAACACCTTCCTCGCAAGGTTTAGGGTTTAGGGTTTAGGGTTTAGGGTTTAGGGTTTAGGGTTTAGGGTTTAGGGTGGAGCCTCAGGCGCCGAAAACGCCCCGATCCCTGGCACGAAAAGCCCGACAAGTCTTTGCTCTTTGTATCAAGACCACATCCGCAAGCGCCTGAAGAGCAATACTAGTGCATAATGTAGGGCCTTAGCAGCTACAACAAGGGTTTGGTGTGTGTGATAATCACATCAAGAGCATCAGGGAACCCTCAACCATAACAGTTTCAAGAATTAGGAGCCTAAACCACAGCATTACGACTTCTTCCCACCCCTTAACCCTAAACCTGAAACCCCTAAAACCTTCAACCCAGAAACCCTAAAAGCCACAAAAACCACCGACAACCTCTGGAAAACCCTACAAAAACCCTGAAACCCACCCGCCAAGAAAAAAAAAACTTCCCAAGAAAAAAATCTCGAGACCCTGCAACTCCCAAAACCAAAACAAAAAAAAACTCCCTCAACCCTAAACCCTAAACCCCACTTTGCCCGCCTCGGGCGTCGGCCCGAACCCGGTCCCGGCTCCTCGGTGGAAGTTCTCGGAGCCCGGCCCCAAACCCAAACTAGACCGGGGTCTACCTTAGGGTTTAGGGTTTAGGGTTTAGGGTTTAGGGCTTAACCCACCAGAACTTGCTTTAGGGTTCAAGGCTTAACCCACCAGAACTTGATTGTAGGTTTAGGGTTTGGGGTTGAGGATTTGGGGTTTAGGGTACTAGTATACACCCTAATGAGGAAGTTGTAGGGTAGGTTCAGGTGGGTTCGAGCCCGAAGCTGTCGAGTCCTGTCTTGTGGGCTCCAGGTCCACTCGCGCCTCCTGGCCCGTCAAAGGAGGCGATGGCGGGCACCTCACGAACTCATTGAACCGATAGTAGGTTAACTAGGTTAGTATAGTATACGATGGTAGTACATTAATATAGTATAGTGTTATCGTATAGTGGTATAGCACTTTATGGTATACGATGGTATACTGTAACATGATACAGCATATTATGTTGAGGAAGAACCATCTACGACTTCTCCACAACTGCTCTGGCCCCTAAACCCTAAACCCTAAACCCTAAATCCTAAACCCTTGCCGCCGCGTCGCTGGTCCTCGTCGAGCTCCCCCAGGCGAGACGTCGGCGGCGGTGGAGGTCCCTCGAAGCCAACCCTTGGCAGCCCATACTCAAAAACCTGCACAACCGCTACACTCCCACATACTCACAGGATGGGGGCCTTCATAATTAGAATAGGGTTTTGGGGTACCTTAAAGTTCAGGAACCCTACGGGACAATGTATCTATATACATACATACATACATACATACATACATACATACATACATACATACATACATACATACATATACATATACATATGTATGTATTCTCTTTCCCCTGCTATCACACTGTCCGGGCAGTCATGCGTGGCCAGGACGCACTAGAACACCATCAAGATATTGGTTGTCGACATCGGCAGTCTGACGCAGCGGTGTGGGAAAGCTCCAGTGTGGCTGACCCTCATGTTGGTTGAGTAGGTTATTATAGTATACTATGAAGATATACATTATTATATAGGGTTTGGGGCTTGGGGTTTAGGGTTTAGGGTTTAGGGTTTAGGCCATAGTCTACTATGTGCTTGCAGGGCCTGCGGGCACCCGGCCTCCGTTGTACATGCACTGCCACAAAACGTAGACGCTCCGGAACCGGCTGTGCCAGACTCTTCAATGCAACACTGCAAACATGCTTCCCTTTAGGATTTCGGGTTTAGGGTTTAGGGTTTAGGGTTCTGCGAGAACCAAGCGCACATCCAAGCGTCAGATGCAAGAAGAGGAAGACATCGTCAGCGGCGTGATGCCGCGGGAAAGGGGAGCTGACGGACACATGCCTGCTAGCGCGATGTAGGCTTGCGCCATGAACTTGCGATGCGCTTCAGTTCTGAGTCCACGCCTTGCCCGGAGGTGCCGCCTTGATTCCCCGGGCACGCGCATGGTCATCGATGGCAACGCCTGCAAAGAAAGCAGCCTTGCAACATCTCTTTGACCACACGTTACCAGCTCTCTCACGGCCCGGCGGCCTGCTTCTCCTCCGGCACCTGGCGACGGCCAGGAACCAATGAGAATCGGTAAGTTTTTCCGAGTGGGCCTGCTGGCCACATGGACCCTCCTGCACCGTTCGCGCGTAACCGCGCAGGGCGGCGTCGATTCCGACCCAGTCCAGCGGCCGAGCGAAGCGCTTTAGCGTGGGCATGCCCATCCGCACCTCTGCGGCGGCACGAATGCACCGGTTCCTCATGTCTGCACACGTCTGACACCTGCCAAACCCTGCACACCTTGGGCTCGTCGGTCTTCCGCACCTCGGACTCGGACACAAAACAAGCAGAGCAGCAGAAGGAGCCGACAGACAGACGTCCTGCGACACTGCGGCCAAGGCGCGAATCGCAGGTGGGCCTCCTCGATGTCCATCAATGCAGTGCTCGCGTTCACCAGCAACGTCATCTCCGCCAGCTCGTCGTAGCACTCTTCGTAAGACTCCTTGCTAAGCAGTCTTCGATCTTGCTCAAGCTTTGCAAGCGAAAGCGTGAGAAATGCCGACGGCAAGGGTCGCTGCAGTCTACAATGGACCCAGAACGTGATGGATCTTAGACCCCACTCCCTCACACTGACCCGGAAGCGATTCCATCTCTGAGATCTCCGAAGCCACTTGCGTCACCACAGGTCATCACCTGTCCGCCAAGTGGCGTTGCTGGCAGCGGAGCGCGCCGTCGGGGCACTCCTAGAAGCCAGCAGACTGCTGGGAAGCACCTTGCTGGGAGGGCGAAGCACGGCCCAAAGGAAGGACCCAAGGCGATTTCCATTGCAAGTCAGGCAGCATTCTGCGTCGGGTCCGCCTCAGCCAGAACCCGCTATGCGTCGGGAACATGGGCCAAAGCCTGGAATCGCTAAACCTGCAGAGATCCCACAATGCAAGAGAGGCGCATCTGGAGGCGGCATGGACTGCACATCCTCCTTCAGGGCAAGCCTCAGCACTTCACCGCTTCAGACTGCAAGACATCCGACACGGCGCAACCAAGCTGCAGGTGGTAGGCGGTGCTCTCGCCATAGAGACTGGGAGGCAGCGGGACGTGGAAGACGTCCACCGAAATCGTCTGGCCCGAAGGGGCCCGGAGAGGCACGCGCAGACAGCGCGGGGCCGCGCTGGATTGCAGGTGTTCACGTACACCTTCCACTGCCGCAGCTTTGAGGAAGTCATCGAACACCTTCCTCGCCTTGTCATCGACCAAAAGGTCCCGAAAGCTGCGCCCGGCAAAGTCCTCGCTGCTTGACAGGAGCCGTTGCAGGCACGGCGCTTTGCCGCTGATCTGGAAGTTGCTGTCCAGTAGCAGCTCCCCGTCACAGATCCCCTTCAGCATCTGTCGAAAGCCCTCAATCAAGAAGTCCGAGTCTTGCGACTGAAACGATGCCACAATCCACTCCCGAACGGCGAACTCGAAAATTACCGGGAGGGCGATAGAAACCAAAACGTTTAAGCACACATGGAATAAGACCAGCCACAGGGTCACAGCTCCGAACGCCTGCCCCATGACCCATGTGTTGGCAGCAGCATAAGAGATGGACTGCACCACCGTCACGGCACCGACAGGGAAAATGAATGCCTGAACAACTTGCGCTGAAAGGCAAAAGCCGAGCCGCCCCATCATCTCGTCCTTGCTGTTGGAGCCGCTCACGAGGATGGTGGTTAAGACCAACACAAAGAAGAACAGCTGCAATGGGCGCAGAAGAGAAGATGAGAACAGCCAGGGGGCTGCGATGATCAGGACGTGAGGCACGTATGCAGCCACAGATTGCAGCAACCAAGTCGCCGCATGCAGGCTGGGTTCCCACAGGAACTGCAGAAGCTGGAGAGAGATCATAAGAAAAACCACGTGAACGCATAGCCGGTTGAAGAACATCAAGATCTTCACTCGCACCTCTATCAGCTCCTCACCATGCTGCCCAAGTAGTCTTTTCCCTGTGTCGCTTCATGAGGCTTTCGGTTTCTGACAGGAATGTGGTGTGAGCAGAGCACTACGTCAGCGACTGACATAAGGTGACTGTGCATGCATGCAACTCAAAGGGGGAAATCATCTCAGCTGCTACAGCTGCAGCTACCTAGAGAGACCGATGCTTGTCCCTTGCTCAACAGTGCTCCTTCTCGACGCGGGCCGCCATGGGGCTCAGACCCGAGCCCTTCCCATGCGCCTGGGCAAACTGCGAGACGGGTCCGTTGCAAGAGAGGCATCCACACAAGGCTCCGGCCCAGTCTTCCGCGAAGTGGAGGAACTGCCACAGCCCGGACTTCACATCCCCCTGCACGCAGCGCTGTGAGCGGCGGGGGAACTAGAAGGCAGGGCAACCAGCTTGCGCCTTCGTCGTACGCCAATGCACCACGAGCAGGGTCACCCAGGCCACACAGGCCACGGCCGCGGCAGTGTTCTCAAACACTGCCGCAACCGGCACGTCCATGGCCCACGCACACTTAGTCTCGGTGTTCACAACAGTTCCTACTAGGGTCCTAGACGTGCTTTCGGAGACACCGGTGGATCTACATTTGGATTCGCGGGGAGTGCTCGAGAGCTTGGGCCCAGGTGCCAATCGAGGCGTACCAACATGCAAGACGATTCAACCGGAGGATCACAGGCCCGGAACATGAGGAGCGATCGCGCGCCGCCATGCGCGCAGAATCGCGCAGAATGACATGCTCGGGGCTTCTCTCTTTCTTGGTCGGCGCATCCCATCCCATCTCAGAGCCGGCTCGGCCTTGGATCTCCGTCCGCTTCCCTTGAAACCGAGGGCTCCAGAGCGCCGAGACCACCGAGATCACCATCTCCGCCCGGAGGCTTCGCGGAGTCGTCTGTGGAGCTCAGCCAGCTCCAGAGGGCAGTAGGAACCGTGGAGGCTTTTGGGATTTCTTCGCGAATCGGACCTTCACCATTCGCCAGCCCTTAGGGCCTTAGGGGCAGCCGTACTTCCGAGCTGTCCTGGGCTCGTGGTGCAAGGAGCTTTGGTTTAACTCACCAGAAGGAGGAAATCACACTGCTTCCTACAGCTATCTATTCGTGTGTGTGTGTGTGTGCGCGAATGAATTTAAAGAATTATATATATATATATATATATATATATGGATATGGTGCAGCGTTGCTAGGCTCCCCTAGGCTCCCCCAGGCTCCCCCCGTCCCCCCACTCCAACCTCACTCTGCGATTTATTGAAGGCCTCCATACTACTCACGACCCCCAATCCTAAACCCTAAACCCCGAAACCCCAAGATTCTAAACCCCTAAACCCCTAAACCCTAAACCCTAAACCTCTAAACCCTTAGACCCTTGAACCCCTAAACCCCGAAACCCCCATGGACCCTAAGCTCACAAGAAAGGTGCCCAGAGTCTCCAATATCCCTTAATTCAGGAATATACCTTAAATCATATTAGGGATCCTCTTATACCCTAAACCCTAAACCCTAAACCCTAAACCCTAAACCTTAAACCCTAAACCCTAAACCCTAAACCCTATTTCTTAATCAAGGGATATTGGAGTCTCTGGGAAGGGAGCCCAGAGTCGGACTCTTTCGGGTGGCCTCCAAGAGCTGTTCGCCGGCAGGGCCCAGGAAGGAGTGGAAGGACTCCAAGTCGTTCCTGACTTTGGTTTAGGGTTTAGGGTTTAGGGTTTAGGTTTAGGGTTTAGGGTTTAGGGTTTAGGGTTTAGGGTTTAGGGTGTAGGGTTTAAGATTTAGGGTTTGGGGTTTGGGGTTCCTGACGATTCAGAAGAGGGCTCTTAGCGGTTAGGCGATATATAGGGTTCAAGGTTTTTTTTGGGGGGTTTGGGGTTCCTGACGATTCCGAAGAAGGCTTTAAGGTTTACATAAGACCCCAAAGAACCTACCTTTGTTAAGGGCTCCTATAAGGAAATCATAATAGGGAACCCTAAAAGGAAGGCTCTTGAGGGTCCAGGTAGGCTTTAGCATTTTAGGGTTTAGGGTTCAAGGTTTAGGGTTTAGGGTTTAGGGTTCCTGACGACTCAGAAGAAGGCTCTTAGGGGCTAGGGTTTGGGGGTTCAAGGTTTAGGGTTTGGGGCTTGGGGGTTTAAGGTCTGGGGTTCATGGTGGATCGTTGAGAGCTTTGGGTTTGGAGCTTAGGGTCAAAAACGGGAAACCTTTATCGCACCTGGCCCTAAACCCCAACCCTACACCCTAAACCCCAAAGCGAGACCCTAAACACCAAACCCCAAACTCTAAGCCCAAACACCTAAATCCTAAGCAACGAACCCCAAACCCTAAAACCTAAACCCCAAACCCTACAGACCTCAGACCCTAAATCCCAACCCTAGCACCCCAAAACCTCCAAACCCAGCCTAGGCTCAACCCTAAACCCTAAACCCTAAACCCTAAACCCTAAACCCACAACCTCCACACCCAGCCTAGGCTCAAGTGAACCAAAAGGTTCGGTTTCGCCTCCGGGTCTGCGACGTGGTTCGCCAAATCTTGGATCCTGGGCCCAACGGTTTTGGGGTTTAGGGTTTAGGGTCTAGGGGCTTTAGGGTTTAGGGTTTAGGGTCTAGGGTCTAGGGGCTTTAGGGTTTAGGGTTTAGGGTTTAGGGTTTAGGGTTTAGGGTTTAGGGTTTAAGGTTTAGGGGCTCTTGGGAAGCGATCCCTTTTAGAGAGGCTGCTGTTATGGGTTTAGGGTAAGCCAACGTGGACCAGGGATCCTCACCTCATGCATGCGGCCCCCACCGGGAGTGCGGCAGCTCCGTCCTCCCTTTCTCCTGAGATCCGGGTAGGGGCTACAACGTTTCGTGCTTTGGGTTTCCTTATACGGGTTTGAGCTGGGCGTTAGAGAGACGGAGAAATCGGTGATGGAGTCTACCGGCTTATAGACATCTCTTGATCGAGTCACAGAAAACCTTGCCGAGCTTCCGCGCTCTGACACCACACCTCCTGGCACGGACCTGGAAATGGCGACCGACTCTACCCTAGAAATGGGAGCGGGAGTTCGGAAATCCTCATCCCTAAACCCTAAACCCTAAACCCTAAACTAAGTTCCCGGCCGGGTCGAAGAGCTGGGAGTGGTCGAGGAATTTCTGCAGGCTCCCAGGCTCCAGGGCTTCCGGCGGCGGCTTCTGCAAGAAGAACCGAGCGATGCACTCCAAAGTTCCTAGGGCTTGGGGTTTAGGGTTTAGGGTTTAAGCTTCCGAGCTTAGAATCCGAAACCCCTAAAGCCCTGAACCCCCCCAAAACCCCAAACTTCTAGAACCCTGAAGCCCTACAACCCTAAACCGCTACCCCTGAACTTAAGCTCTCGATCCGCAGAATCATGCCTTTCGGCCAAGCCCTCTCCAGAACGTGCTGCCTCCTGAATACTACCATACATGCATTGGGTCAGGCAGGCAGATTTCTCATACAACCAGAAACAAACAAACATACTTACTTACATACATACACACATACATACGTACGTACATACATGCAGGGATACCTGCCCAACTACATACATATTTTGTTTCTCTCTCTCTCTCTCTGTATGCCATGCGATAGGCGAGCCTTGCCACTGTCATGCCGCCGTTTATGTGACAGACCCATGAGAATTGCCATTGTTTCTAAACCTGTTCTTGACTATGTAAGTCAACACTACTAAGTAGACAAGTAGATGTATTTCGTCGTTCTCAATTCATCTGAATTACTACTACAGTGATTTCACCACCATGCAGGTCCATGCAATGCTTTACCTGCTCATGTGCACACAGACACATGTGCGTGTTATTGTGGGTACACATATTAATTATATATATATATATATGTTTATACATATACATATCTGTATATTTACGTACATATATATATATATGTATAGAAATGTTATGTATTTATGTGTGCCTGCTTTGGAGTCTTTGTTAGGACCATGAGATATTCAAACATGTAAGATGGGATCGTCTTCCTTTTGAAATTTTGCCAGTATGCGACAACCCAGCC